ATAAGTATTATTGATTTACCGTTGCTGCTAATTATTTAGTTTCACTTTTCCAGATAAGAATAATTCCAGTGTTTAAAAAAATGCTCCATGTCGTTTTTGCTCTTCCTTGTCGTTGATTTCACACAGCCTATTTATTCTCCGTTGCGGAGGTAAGTTGTCCCAGATAGATGTAGCTTTTTGCTTCCTCAAGCCTCAGTCCGTTGACATCACCGGGCCACTGAGTCACGCATTTCTTAAATATGTTCTGACTCTTCTTCGGATTCACGTTCAGTCCTACTTCTGTGCTGACGTCGTTTAGTTTTTGGATTCTTCTTCAAAGTTCTGCTTGTGACCTCAAGAGGATCAGAACATCGTCCGCAAACTGCAGGTAGCTTAAGTGGTACACGTTTATTCTCATGCCCTGAGTTTTCCAGCGGAGTGCCGTGAATATTTCTTTTAGAGGTACTAAGAACACTTTTGGTAATATTGTACCACTCTGTCGTACGCCCTTTCCGATTTTAAATTTGCTTGAATTTTCCATAAGCTTTGCACCAGCAATTATATTCTTGTAGATCATAATGACGATGTCTCTGTATCTTTATCGATTGCCTCATTCCGCAAAGAATCCAGTATGGAATGCATGTTGATTGAGTAGAAAATTTTTCCGATCTCAGTCGACGCGTCCCAGCCTCAGATTAAGCTAATGTTCGTTGTTAGTCTGAATTATTCGTTTTTACCAGCTGAATGTAATCTCTTTTACTGAACCACCTTTGTTTGCTCCCTTCGTTCCTTGCTGGTCTGAGAGAAATTTTCGTTTCCTGACCGTCAGTCTTCGATATAATTGTTTCTTGTCTTCTTTTACACGTTTTCTTAACGTTCTGCAAACTTTATTTATTTGATTTTCGATATCTGATCTGTTGCTGTCTTCATGTTTCTTGCTTTCTTCTGAGTTTCTTTGTTTGATTGGTAATTTTTCGATTACAATTCTTGTGCAGTAGGAACTTTCCGCCGTGTCCGTAAATGCCTTCATTATATCCTAGTGATAACATAACGCTAATATCTCTGCTTTAACTTTCATATCGTGACAAAACAAAGGAAAAGGAAGGTTTGGATGTCGATTTCCTACCCTTTCATGATTAGGGGCCACTCTCACTTGTGGTGAAGCTTATATTGCGGCGCTGATCTCTATTTCTTTGCTATCAGTTAACATTGTTTTATTTTCAAGACAGCGTCCAGATGTGTGATTAGCGTATTGTCTAGTCTCTTGTTTCTTTCCTATAGAGTGGTGTGCGTTTATTAATCTTTGGAAGAAGAAAGTGAGTAACTCGTGCGTCGAACTTGTGAGTGAGTAAGTTCCCGGTTTCGAGTTCAACCCTCTACCGTCCGAGCCTTAGTCCATGTCGATTACGAAGTGCGTCTGTTCTCTACACTTAATCCTGCTCAGCATCATCCTTCGATGTCCTGCGCTGTTACCTTCATGCTACTGAGGATGAATTCGATTTCATATTCTAGACATTGTTTGGGCTTACCGATACCCTTTTTCCTTAGCTTTGTCTGAAATAAGGTGTTCGTGATAAGTAGCTTGTTCTTCCAAGTAAACTATGCTATTAGCTCCCCTGACTTTCTTTTCGCTGTAACCAAATCGAAAAGGTTATGGTAGCTGTAGCCCATAGGGCGTTCGTTTCCTTCCTGCGCATTGGCCTTTGCTTTTTAATCGCCAGTGATGAACTTGCAGTGGTTTTTTCCATATTCATGCAGTTCTTTTATTTCTTCGTAACACCTTTGATGTCTTTGTGAAGATTGCATGACATCTGCGTGTGCACTTGGATCACTTGGAATCAGTGTCTTTTTGAAATTCCCACGGCTAGGTATACACATTTCTGAATTGCTGTTATTTGTAGTACGTTGTTCCTTAATCTTCTGTACATAATGAGCCCTATTCCGCATGTGCTTCCATAGCCACTTCTCATCTCGTCCAACTTTGCTGAATCCAGCAGTGCCCCACTTGATTCTACTAAGTTGTTCTTGCAGCTCTTGTAGCCTTATTTTGCTTGGAAGTGGTTTGCGGTAGAACACTTGATAGTGTTCGTAAACGGCAGCAGCTGTGATCCTAACCAGGGTATTTTTAGCACGCCCTGCCGTTACCTGGTCATTTACGGATTTTCTCTGTTGTTCATGAGTGTTTCATTGTAATAAGCTATGTGCAAACTCCGAATACACCACCGCTTTACTCTCCGTATGCTTAAACGATGCTACTGAATTTGATGAGGTACTGCGATTTTTATGTGGTGCTGAATTCAGTCTGATGTTCATCTGAGCTGATTTGTTGTTTTAGTAAAGCATCGACAGTTTTGTTTCAGCGGTGTACCATCCGGTCGGTTTTCGGATAATGTGACCTTGGATATGTCACTTTTCGCTTCCGAACTGCTAACCTGTTTTCTCTGTTGTTTTCGGCACATTGGAAACGAATCGAATTGTTGCTGTTTTACTTTTCGCGCCGATTCTCGAAAAGCCCTTTGCGACCATGTTTTTATTATGTATGCCGAAGTTCGAGAAGTGATTTGCCGTCGTACTGCGCTTTCACGAAACTTGTTTCGAATTTCAGCTAGCCCACAGACGGACTGTGGAATATTTGGTAATGCTTGACGTTGATTACCGCGCCGGACCGCGTCGCACACGATGCCATGCAGGACGTATGGCGTTGTGTACGAACTTCATCGAGGATTAACAGAAGCCACCAACGCGTGTGCGATTCCGTGTTGCCTCTGGTGTGGTGTCGTCGTTTGCCGCCGCTTCCTTGCGCTTTGTGTCGCGTTCGTTTGTCGCGTGTCGCGCTTCCCTCCACCACTTAAGGTTGCGTGCTCGTTTCAGGTTGCTCGCTTGCTTTTGGCTGTATCGCAATGTGGCTTGCTCTTAGTGGAATGATGCGCCGTCGGCTCGCTGATTAGCCGCTCCGCTGTCCAGCAGATTCAGTGCTGGGACCCGTTGCTGTCGCTGTCGATCGCACGCGCTCGCCGCGCCGCGTTGCGCCGCGCCGCCCACTTGCCTGCCTGTTGCCTGCTCACCCGCGTCGCCTCGCCTCACCTCGTCGCACGCTCGTTCCCACCCGCGTCTGGACGTGAAGTCACGCCGTCGTGTCGTCGCCGTCGTCATCTGCCGCTTCCCGCGCCGCTCACCGCTTTCGTCGTCGCTTCGTCGCTTTCGTGCAAAGCTCCCGTCGATTGTGCCTTAAGCCGTTCGTCTGGCAACGTCACACAGTGTCAGCAGCGTCAGGCTGTAATCATCGTCGCTTTTACCGTGCGGACAGCATCGCCATATTGTCTCGCTTCGGTTCACCTCCGTAAACCGGAAACGAACGCACTTAGCATCAAGCTTTGCGTCTTCGTTGGTCGTTCTGTCCGTCGTTCACCTCCGTCACTGCATCGCTTGCCGACTGTACTTCGTTCTTCCTCTTCTGTCTGTTAGTCTTCCTGGTCTTGTCGTTTTGTCTTGGTTGGTCGTGTACCACGAGCTTGGACATCGGCTCTCTGTAGAGGACCAAATCGGTAGAGATGTGCGATGAAAACAGCAACAACCTGATGGCCATGGTCAATCACCTGATGAACGTTAAAGACTCGCGATGGTTGCAGGTCGAAGTGTGCCGTGAGTTTCAGCGGGGCCAGTGTTCGCGATCAGAGAACGAGTGCAAGTTCGCCCACCCGCCGCCGCACGTCGAAGTGCAGAACGGCCGAGTGACCGCCTGCTACGACAGCATCAAGGTAAACTAAAATTGCCAGTATGGCCATGTATATGCTGAGCTGACCACTGGTCACGTCTGCGCCTCCGCTGGCGGGTACACGTCTGCGATGTCTAGCCAGGTTCGGTCAAAATAAGCCGTTCATTCATTTTCATTGCCGACTATCTGTCTCCACTAACGGGCAGGACTTCCACCATTCGAGTACGATCCGTGAGCTGGATTGCAGTGGTACAGATCAACGTGATCAGTACATTCTTGTCGTCTTGTCTGCGGTCCTTCCTTGGACCGTTGTACTTATGGACTTAACGTTTTTTATGTTATATGTTTTTTTGAGTCTTTCCTGTGATATCATCATCACATGTCCACACCATCGCAGTTGTCATCCGTTGGTATCGAGAAGTAATGGCGTACACGCGGGCTTCACTACACCGACATACCTTCGAAGAATTCTCATTTGTACCGCTTATATCTTATGCCGCACAATTATGGTCATTATTGTACGCTCATAACCAAAGGTGAGGGTAGAGTTTTAGACATATTTGAGGGCAGATCCACTCAGCGTCCTGCTCGTCATTACAAACCGATTTAGTTGTCGCATTTTGAGCACATTGGTCTGGTATTTTTTAAACCGGATTTTATATAAAAAGTAAACTTTGGCAGTCGTCTAGTAAAGCAAAACATCGCAAATAGTCACGTTTCACAGCGCTAGAGCGTACGACGATTAATTTTGAAAAATCCTCTACTCGAAGTAACTTAGTCCTCTCCGTTATGTGAGAAACATTCTTGTTATTAGCAAAAGCTTTCGTTTTGGCAGAGCAGGGAAGATTGTAGAAAAGACCCACCGTCAACTCATCGATTCCTACTTGGCAGAATACGTGACCGTGAGAGCGAAAAAATGCGATTCATTCGAATAATCATGTAATATGTTCTGGAAAGTTTCTTCGAGTCGTTGAACGAGCAAAGTTGCGGCTGTGATGGCAAGTTTCCAATAATTATAGACCGCTTATGGCAACGAAACACAAAATTGGAAACCTTAAGCAGACATTTAACGATTTAACAGGTTTCATTCTGGCAGTGTTATCTTCCGGAGTTTTAACTCAAGAATTAAACTTTTTCCACTCTCTCGATACAGGCGAAGTTTGAATCGAAACGTCGTCTAATACCATAATCTTACTGCTCATTGTAATCACATAAAACAGATAAGGAAATAGACATATGCAGAAATATATTTCATATGTGAAACTTTCGGAATCCATAACAATGTTGCTCTTTCAGCACATATTTGTGCTGAAAAACAAACACCGTCTTGTTTGCTGAATGCAGTATCATTCTCTGTCTATCATCGTTAACAACCTCGACAATTTGTCTGTGGAATTACGCCGCATATAAAATTTTATGTACAACTTCTCCAACGTTTCGGGTCATGCTCGATGCGTTTTCAGCGAGTGACATATTGCAGATATAGTTAAAGTATATTTCGGTGTATTTAGATACCGTCTTCATTATGGAGGCTTTGGCTTCGAGAGTGAAAGTTGCTTCATAACTTCGTTCCATTGCGAACTTAGTTCCGTACCGACGTCTCTTTGTTGCATTGTATTTCCAGCGCTTCTTTTGCCTTCCGGTTTAGAAGCTACACGTCAGTGATTTGACTTTACGGCAAAATGGACAAGCACAGAACGAGAAATGATGAAGTGGAGTGAAAAGTTCGCAAGTGATAAAGCGGGTATGTGAAAGGAGATCGGCTGCTGTGAACATACATACAGGATCAACATTGCGCGTTATGCGACGATATGAAGGGAATACACCGAGAGCGAAACTTTCTAAACAGGGAGATAAAAGAAGCATGAATAATTACCTCGATATGGGACTAAGTTCGCGCTGGAACGAAGTTATCAAGCAACTTGCACTGTCGAGGTTGAAACCTCCGTACTGAAGTTTGTACCTAAATACACTGACAAATGCTGTTACATGTCGCTCTCCCTGACGACTGATCGAGCATGATGCGAAACGTTGGAGAACTTATGCATCTTCATCGTCCATGACCGCTTCTTCTTTCGGGTCGCGGAGGCAGACGCGTCTGACAAAATTTCCAACATTCCCGATCCTCTGCCAGAGTCTGAATTTCGGCAGAAGACAACTCAAGTCTGCTTCAGATTCTTAATATATTTGAATTGGCATATCTTGGTCGTCCTATGGACCTTCTGCCGGTCGGATTTGCAAGGAAAAGTTGCTTAGCCTTCCTTTCTGGAGGCATTCGCAACACACGCCCAAACCATCGCAGCTCCAATTTTTCTATCTGGAAAAGCAGAGGCTGTGCTACAAGGCTCTCTCGGATGTCAGCACCGGACCATGTCGAGACGCGTAAGGCCAGCGACTCGTCTAAGAAAGCCCATTTCAGCAGCTTGTACCCG